TCTATCATCTTGCTGAGATAATTTTTGAGGTCCATCTCTTCTTCATGCACTGTGTTGGGCTTTTCAGATCTTGCTGGAGTGGAGTCCCTAGATTCTGGTGGTGTCATACTGGTCTTTCTGTTGTTGAGCAAGTTCTTATTCTGTCTTCTTCCCATATCTTTTTTTCAGTGAGTGCAGGTGGGGTCTCTCTATCTCCTCTTGTTACACAGTAGTGTGTGTGGGCCAGGAATTCAATGTCCGAAGCTCTGGATGGTCTTGCCTCTCCTGGTAGTCTCCTCACTCTGAAGGAGTTAGGCCTCCATAGGGATCAGGTGTGTGGGGGCGGGACAGGAAGTAAGAGTGGGGTGTTTCCAGGCTCTGGGGGTTCCTCACTGCCTGGGCAGGTCTACCCCAAGCAGGAGCAGGCCCAGGGAGATCGGGGTGGATGGGGCTTTGAAAGGGAGTTGTGTAAGAGCAGTGGATCACTCACCTCCTTGCAGATCGGTTGGCGGGAAGGGAAGGAAGACTGGCCTGTACCCAGATTCAGGGAGCTCCTCCCTGCCTGGGAGTGTCTATTTCAAGCTTGGACAAGCCTGGGGGGATCTGGGTGAATGGCGCTTTGGAGAGGAGTTGGGTAAAAGCAGGGGGTCACTCACTTAGCTGCTGATGGGTCAGTGGAAAGGGAAGGAATCGGTAATTTTTTCTTAAAAATACAATTTGCTTCTATAATAGTTTTAGGTTTGCAGGAAGTCAGGAAGATAGCCACAGCTGGCTGCCTGTCACACTGTGATACTAGTAGCTAAAGTCCACACTGACTTATAACACTAATTTTCCCCTGAAGATCCTATGCAAGACAAGCTTTGGTCATCCTGTCTCTGTAGTTTCCTCTAGACAGTGACCATTTCTTAGATTTCAGTACTTTGACATTCAGGCATTTTTTTCTTGTGGCTAGACAAGAGTTCTGAAAATGTGAGAGGTCAACCATAGAAGTACAGCCTTCATTATTTGGCTGAGAGAGGGGTGTATCTACTCTGAAGTTTGTCTTTCCTCTCCTTGGAAAGGGAGTCACTGAGCAAGAGTTCACTGTTAAGGGATGGAGTATCATAAGGAAGGCATCATGCAACCGTTCACCTAGGGAATGTTGTATTGCAGGTTGAAAGTCACCATGCAGCTGTTCACACCTAGAGGATGGTGTGCTGCAGCTAGGATATCACTAAGTAGGAGATCACTCTTACATGGTGGAATATGGTAGTTTTGCTTTAAGTCTTGAGGGTGGGAGTGTTATCTAGATAAGTTATTTAAAATTTCTTTATGTAGGAAATTTGTCTATTCTCCATTTACTTCAGTTCAATCATGTTTTATAAGTATTTAGTCAAAGACTTATTTTGTGGTTGAAACATTTGAGAACTCATATTTGGCTCTGTGCTCTTGATACCTCTCAATATGTTTACTTTGAGTACTCTATCACTTCTTGGGCACCAAGACTCACATGTAAATCCTCCATGGTAGTCTGGAGTGATTCATTTCTCCAAGGAGTCTTATTCTTTTTATTAGAAAGTGGAATCATACATGATTTAGTGTGCTTGCTGTTTTTTGAACTGTTCCAAGTTCTGTCAGAGATTTGTACGTTACTAACCTTCTTACACACATACATATACATAGCTCTCTAGCCTCCTGAGTATGAGTTATGTCCTGAGGCCACCATCTCACCCATGATCTCTTGGTGTCCTGGAATATTTTTAGCCCTCCTCCTTGCTTGACTCTCATCTCCCATTCCAACAGTGCCTTGGTCATGGTGTCTCTTCACAGCAACAGAAAAATCACTAAGACAAATGGCTTCTTGGAATTATTGTACATAGTACACTGTAGCATTCCAAATTCACTAGTAATGAATGTATGTCAATCAAACGGACTTATATAGAAAGCCATATACCTACCATGTATGTTAATGGACAGGTGACTCCATTTTCTTCTTAGTTAACAATGTTAGACTGGTTCTTCCAGGTATATGGCTTTCTATATAAGCCCAGTTGGTTGACTTATTTATTAAGAAGTAGTGATTTTTTTTCTTGTTTTTGCTGATTCCCCATGGCTCACGGGTACCCTGTGAAGTCGACTTCTAAATATTTCCCTAAACAATGTGACAGCTTTTCAGACTCCATTACTTACAACATTATTTCCAGACCCAGCTATTTGAAAGCTATTTTGTTTTTCTCATACAGGCAAATAGAAACTGTTTAAAATGAGTATTGCAGAAACCAGATATTCTAGATTGCTTATTCCTCAGAAACCGGTACATCCAGCTGGGAAGTAGTGGCGCACACCTTTAATCCCAGCACTCAGGAGGCAAAGTAGGCAGATCTCTGTGAGTTCAAAGCCAGCCTGGTCTACAGAGTGAGTTCCAGGACAGCCAGTGCTACAGAGAGAAACCCTGTCTCGAAAAACAAACACCAAAACCCAACCAAACAAACAAAAAAGGAACCAGTACATCCTGGATTGCTTATTTTCCAGAAACCAGTGTTTCCAGATTGTAAATTTGTCAGAAACCAGTATGTTCTAGACTGCTTGTTCTTTGTTGCTAGCTGGCATTTGAAGATTATCAATTTCACACCATTCACTGTTTCAGAGTACTTTTGACATCAGGCAACCTTAGATGTTTCCTATAGAGCAAACTACAAGCAACTTTAGCCACTAGCCAACACTTGTAACTTCAGGGGACTTACTCTGTCTCCCTTTTTTTTTTTTTTTTTTCCTGTGGGAAGAGTACTCAGGTTTATCTTTTGGACACTGTTTCCCTTAAACCCCATGAGAAATGTAAAAGTGAAAATGCTTAACTGTGAAGTTGCCCCAGGGATGGGGTGGGAGGTGGTGAATGAGCTGCACCTGGAGGAACTTCCCTCCATGTGGCTCTTGGTAAAGCATGTGGCCCTCTTGCAGGTCCCTGAATGGTTGGTTAGGTTGTGAAGCTGAGTCCAGGATAGTATGGGCCCTTTACCTCCATGTGGGCTACTGCCCACCCTGCTGTCTGATCACAGGGCTGGAATGGTCCTTGGGCTACTACTGTCCAGGAGGCACTGTGCAATTTTCTGGTCACATTTTGACCTATAGTCTTGTTCATTTGCTTATCTTGCTGTCTTCTCACCAGTGTCTGATACAAAAAACATAAAAACAAAATTTCCTTTCTTTTTCAGAAGTGTGTTACAGAAGAGTGTTTCTTTTTTGAACGCTTGGAATCTAATAACTACAATACTTACCGGTCAAGGAAATACTCCAGTTGGTATGTGGCACTGAAACGAACTGGGCAGTATAAACTCGGATCCAAAACAGGACCTGGGCAGAAGGCCATACTGTTTCTTCCGATGTCTGCTAAGAGCTGACTCACTTTAGAATCTGTTAATGAGAGAAAAGAATGTACACAACTAAGTTTGGATACCTGGTTTGATCACTCATTATGTAACAAGACACTTAACCATTACCTCAGTAAAGAAAAACAGCAAGTTTTGGAAAAAAAATTAAGACTTCCCCCTTTTATAGAGCTTTGGTTGTGACCCAGTAATGATTAGAGCCACAATCTTTTTCATTCATTTTCTTTATTTGAAAAGAGGATTTAAAAACATGTACATTCACACATTTCCATCATGCAAGTGAGAAAGCTGGTACCAGGTATCAACCACGGACTATGTCCATCTTTGGTTCACTTCAGTGTCTGCATTCAATCTACTCCCATTGTGGTTCTGTAACTCTCTGGCAGTCCCCTGTGATAGAGTTTGTAGAACAGGCCTGTGTACACTGCTGGGAGTTCCTCCATACTGAGGTCAATTTTATCAAACCCTTCCCTATGTCCATACAGCAATAGCCTAGCCACCCTGCTGGTGATAGGGGTGGTGTTTTCAGTCTTGGCAAGTTTTTCTAGATCCATCCATTCACACTTCAAGCATTCCTGCTGGCAGAAGTTGATAGTGAAGGAACGTGGCTGCAGGCGGCAGATAAGGTACATATCCGACTTCCCGAAGGCTTCAGGGTTCCTGTGTTGCTGCCGGATGCTCAGCAGGGACCTGAATTCTGACTTCACACCAGTCTCTTCGAAAACCTCTCGGACTGCTGTGTCACCTATGTGAAAGAGAGAAACAAACATAGAGATTTTTGTTCTTAGAGATGCCATCAAAGGTTTTCAGCTAAAATCTGGAAGTTTAACAGCAAAGCTTTGTCTTCAAACAGCTTTCTGGATGTTGTACAATGCCCTTTGTATTTAAGATGCTTTTTGAGACACTGAGGTTCTCCTTGGAGGCCATGCATGTGTCACATGTGGGAGCCACATCTTCTTAACCTCTTTCTATTCTATTTCCCAGAAGAACACATTTGCAAACAAAGCTGCAGTTAACATTCTGATCAAACCTTCCTTCACTTTTTATCTTGCCCCGAACATCCATTAAACTGCCTGACTTTGTGAACATTAGAACTGAGAAAAAGGACCCATCCTTGGTTACAGAAGGCTGTAATGCTGAACATACTTGAGTTAGCTGTGAAATGACCCTGGCTTCTTTGTGTTCTCAAGCCTCACAGGGCAAGATCCTTCACCATGGTTATGCTCCCTCCTAACTGCCAGTGGATCCTAGCCTGATTTTGGAAACTGCTTTTTTTTGAGATCAGATTGTGCAGAACTTGGGATTCATTTCTTCAACATCAAAATGCAGTAGCTGCTTCAGCAAACATTTTCATAAGGCTGGAAATGCATATAATTTTATAATGTAACAAGGTTTTTCAAATTTTACACAAATTTCCACGGCAGGACTTTTATCACCATTAACACTGCATTTATGTCTAGTTTTTTCTAGACACCAAGGAAGACTGCCTGAATGGACTTTACTAATTCTGATCCTATATAGCTGCCTGTCTTGATCGATTTTCTGGTAATCTTTAGAATTGTTATAGATTGTTTAACACCTTCTAATGCCTCTCTGGATGTTTGCCAAATAGCACCTAAGTTTATCTTGCCAGTAATTCTACTGATAACACCTATGCATTGAAGAGCTAGCAAAGGCACATAGTTCCTGTGTACTCAAACCATAGACTGTCTTTCTTGCCCCACTGGACACATGCCAGCCCCTAAGACATGCTCTTGTTTCTAAGAAACAGTTCTGGAAAAGTTCACAGGAACAGTAAGTTGGTTTAAAACACATGTCATCTATCCATCGTTCTTTAATTGTATGCTGACTTCCCCTGTGGTTGAGATTTGTTCATAAGCTAAGCATGGCCAGAAATTACATTTCATAACTGAAAGCACCAAGACAAGACACACAGCTCACCATGTAGATGCCTGCCTCAGTATGCTGGGTTCAGTTCCTGGCACCACATAATGAGAGGGAGGGAACAGAGAACATTCTAGGCTCACAAAGTTTCTCTAGTAAGAAAATAGTTTTCATCTAGCCTACAATACATTATTAAATTATGACATGATATACTCTGGAAAATAACCTTGGGGATCTTGCTCAGTTCTTAGCACCACTAGTCTGACCAACTGTCTGTAAATTACAGAAACAGGACAGGGTACACAAGAGTGAGTGTTCTACTTAGCAGTCACTATAGTAGTGGTGATAGGATAAACACTGCCTGGGTAGACTGAATAGTTGAACAAATCAGTACATCGCCAACAAGCTGAAAGCAGAAAATGCAAGCTAGTGCTCTTGTTTCTGAAGTGTGGGACATCCTCCCCCTTCCACTTCAAATTTAAATTTCTCAAGATAAACTGCCCTTTCTTTCCAATTATTTTAACAGATTTTAAACTCAGCTGAAATAACAATTTCTGTGGGTGAAGAATCTAGAAGCTCAGTTTTTCTGCTAAAGAGGTATGCTTGAATGTCAGGCTGGATTGTTGAACAATAGGACAGTACAGGGGTCCCATGTTCTGTTTTGTAGGATGTCATGATAGGATGTCCTGAGATGGAACAAAGTGATGGGAGATGTTCAGCATGTGGGTTTCCTTACGCTCCCTCTGTCCCTGCTCAACATCTCTGGTTAGCAAGAGATGGTTTTCACCCATGGTAATGTCATATTTTAGGAAGTCATTTTGTTCCTTTGAACCATACAAGACACCTTTAGGCTCAAGCCTTCAGGACTTCAATTTGTTTTGCATTTCCCAAATGTAATTTCTTAGAAAAACTCTCAGCATATCAATGTTTCACCTACCTTGCATTATCAGAGATGAAAGATTCCCAACAAATGAGCTTTCAAATTAACTAGTATTTATTTACTGGTATTTAATAACAGGCTAATTAACAGCCAGTAAATATCCAACTGCTCAGGGTGGCAACATTCCAAAGTGTATTTCATGCTTTCCCAAACAAAGGTTTCATGAATATAATTTCCAGGTGGTCTAAACAATCTGGCTTCCTCATTAGAGTACTTTTATTTTGTACTGGCTATCAATAGAAACAGGCTGTAGAAGATAAAAGTTCAGTACTTATCCCTAGCATAGTTGTGGACTTTGGGAGCCCAATCCACATACAGGGATACTCCCTGAGCCAACACACATGGGGGTGGGCCTAAGCCCTATCCCAAAGGATATGATAGACTATGATGACCCCCTATGGAAGACCTCACCTTCCCTAGGGAGCAGAAAGGATATGTGATAGGTAGGGTATTAGTTGGGGGGTGGTGGTGCAGTAGGGGAGGAGGGGAGAGAGTGGGAACTGGGATTGACATGTAAAACAATCTTGTTTCTAATTCAAATAAAAAAAGAAACATACATATATATGTATGTATGTATGTATGTATGTATGTATATAAAGAAGATAAGGTTCTAAAGCTATGGTGAATGCCAATGTCTGCTTTTTAGTTCAGATAAGTTATTTTGATAACCACAGATACTTAAAAAATTAGTAGTACATTTAAAATGATCTAGACTTAAAGGAAAGATTCTGGAATTATACTTAAAACAGAATTTATAAATAATTTACTTGAAAATGTGTTTCATTTACATCTAAGTGTGTCTGAAATTCTTAGGATTTATTGAAGTTCAAAGGAAAAACAAAAGCCACCTCAATTCATTTGAAAAGGTATGTCTCAGGAAGAAAAGTCACATGGGGCTGCAGATGGCTTCCCCTCAGTGAAGGGTGAGAAGGCTAGCCTTGAATTACCTTGTTCACACACCCTCACATATCACATAGGTAATGGGAGAAAATGCAGAAGTTGGCCTTAGAGAAAAAATGGCATCTACTCTCAGTATTTGGCACCCCTACAAAATACAGATGTTTTTGAAGACATGGTCTAAGTAGCACAGGGTAGCCTGAAACACCATCCTCTTGCCTCAACCTCCTTAGTACTGGGATAAACAGGCATATGCTATCACACCAAGGTCCCCAGAGTACACACTGTCAACAGACTACCCCCCCCACCCCGAGAACTAAGCAAGCAATCAGTGAGAACATAAAACCAAGGTCTGTTTTACAGATCTGAACGTCATCAGTGTGCTGATGGGTTGTTAGGAGCTGGCCACATAAATATAGACAGGGCATTTGGATCTGTGTAACATTTAAAAACTCAGACTTCATGAACATACACTCAAATATAAACACAGGAGACTGCTCTAATACAGTGCCTGGTTAAGGAGAAATAATGTTAAAAAAAAGGTCTTTGAGAAATAATATTGATATCTAATGTATTATTTATTGACCAGGATGATGTTGAATTTAACCTAATGGTTTAAGGAACAGCATAATTCTATACTTTGTAGATCAGTGACTAAGTCCTTAGCTCCCAGCCTTTCTCTCTATAAGCTGCTTTGGTGGGAGATGAGAAGCATGTCATTTCCCTCTTGAGACTTCTCATAAGGTATTTTACTAGGTTTCGGACTATTCGTAATAAATAGCAAAATCTTCAAAAGAGAATTAATTATATCACTATCTCCTTGTAGTTGGCTTTATTATGCTTCAAAGTTCATTTAAATTTTTTCTCCCATACATAACCATAATAGAGTCAGGAATTCAAAATTTAATAATTTTAGCCTTACTTGAAAAATATTTACAATGTTACTGGTGAACATCTCAAGTTGCTGCCTTTTAGACAACCTCAGAGCACCCCTGGAAAGGGGTGTTAACACTCCCTAGGGATGGCCTTTGCTAGAAAACTCATGCTCAGAGTTTTCATAAATATCAGCCCTCAGAATCTGTCGGATATTTTCTGACTTGATCTGAACAAATTAGAAAATTTAAATTCTTATTCTTAGCTATAAAATCAGAGAAGGAAACATGAATTTTTCATGTTTTCCAAAAATTTTCCAAAATTTTCTAAAAATTTTCCAAACACTTTCAAGCTTATCAGAAATATATAGATACATACCAATATCTTCTCCGGGTTCTGACAGGCCTCCTGGAAACTTCCACATATTTTTCAGCTGCAGTGCAAAATAAATAGTTGGTGTCGTGATTCACTTTCATTCTCTTGTTTCTGTCTGCTACCCTAGTCCACCCACAGCTGGCCACCCGGTAGCAAAAACTTGTTTTTAGTGATTCCACTCAATTTCCCCCAGCTTTCTTATCATTTCATCTTTTCCCTTTTGATGGAAATGGTGATTGAAGGAATCTTTTCCTCTTATTCTTCAGGAAATAGAAGTGGTGTTATTTAGCTAATGTGACACAACTTGTATTAATGAAACTTTGGAGGGAAGTATCTATTAATTTGTGTACTTTACAGAACCTGGCTGCTAGTTAAATATGAACACATAGGACCTTACACATGCTGCTATTAAGTAGAGTACAGAATAAATGTAATCACTGAGGTATGCTACTCTATAGAGTTTTACATGCATTTACTGGAGTTTGTTTCTAATCACAGATATTACTCAAATTTTCCTCATGTTAATAGTTTTATGTAAAATGTTATTGCTTTTTATGAGTAGTGTAAATAAAATTAATTTGGTTTCTTGGCTATCATTTCTTTGTATTCTTATCAATTATTTCTATATTTTGGGGGGTGGGTGGGAGGATGCTAAGGAGGTATACCTGATCTCTGGCAGAAATAAGAATACAGCAAAATAATTATGAGCTGGCACAAGACAGTTTTCTCATGGCTGACATGATCTGTCTCCTTGTAGAATTCTTCTGTATGTGTTCATCACACTATAACTCTCAAGAATGGTTAGGACCTCATAAACCAGCAGATCTCAGATCCTTCATTCATAAAACCTTTGTGGACCTTCTACTGTGCACTGTGGCCCTTTATCTTCCTGGACGTGTGCTGCTGGGAGCATGCATCCCCTCTCAGCTATGTGGACTTGGAGGCCAATCGTATGGTTCCATACTGTTGATTACTCAGTGAAGAATCCAGGCTTGCGACCCTTCTGTGTCCAACTCAGGCTTGACACTAATTTATGAAGCATATTATGCCTTACTTTACTAGTATAGAAAACTACCTCATCTGCAAGGATACAGTGTCTTTTGGGTTACACTTTAACATGGTTCTGAAAGCTTTGTTCCTCTGGAAACTGGTAAGATACTGGGCACTTCCATCATAAACTATGTAATAAAGTGGTGTAATAGGGCACTTGAGAAGTTGTTATCCTTATGACATTAACCCTGCCCAAACACCAGCATTCCATCATCACAGGCCTATCAATAGCTATGATTTACATTTCAAGCCGAAACTCATGTCTGGCTCCCAGGAATCCTCACAGTGGGTCCTAGCATGCCTGTCAAATCACATTCCATACTCTCTAGTCATTACCATTAAATGTATATGTTTATGTCCCAACACAAACATAAAACTTACTAAAGTCTAGGCACAGTATTACTTAGGCACTGCATAATTTTCTGTTGATGGTAGAAAGTTTGTTTGACTCAGAGATATGACCTTACTATAAGCCTCATAAGTTACTTAGAATAATTTTAGATAGTATATCTGAGAAGTTATGATGTTGTAAATATATATAATAAGGAAAATGTTTAATTTTGTCCAGCAGTATTTAACGAAGGGTCAGAAAGTGTAAAGATAATTACTCTTGCTGGGCTCTAGTGCAGAGACAGCACTAGCCCCAACTTGATTCCCAACACCAGAGTAGAAAAGGCATTCTCCTTCACTTTGACACAAATGCCAAGCATGAAAGCATCTCTAACTATGCTCTTCTCTTAATCTTTGCTGCTTCCTGGACTCTGCCTTTCCTTTACGTACTGTTGCCAGTCTCTCAGGTCAAATCCCACAGTGATGGTTCTGCTTGGTGGCCAGTGTAGCAGCCACGGGTTGAACTCTGTGCCTTCCCACAGTCAATTCCAGTTTCTCAGTTTATTTCTCTATCCTTTAAACTTTTAAAAATTATTTTTAATTTTTATTTATATGTACAAGTGAGTGTGTGTGTGTGTGTGTGTGTGTGTGTGTGTGTGTGTGCATGTGTGCATGCCATGTAGATGAGGGCACCTGCAGAGGTCAAAGAAGGCATCAGATTCCTGCAAGCCAGAGTTAGAGGTGGTTGTGAGCCTCCTGACATGGGTGCTATGAGCCGAACTCTCATTTGAGTAGCAAGTGCTTTTAACTGCTGAGCCATCTCTCTAGCACCTCTCCTCTCCTCTCCCATCCCCTCTCCCTTAATCCAGTAAGAAACTCTACTAGTCTGAGTTTGAAATGTCACTTCCTCAGAAGCATCACTGGAAGCTCTCATGGCAAAGGATCCATTCTATGATTATCCAGAGACTGAGCTGCAGGACTGTTGGGGTAGCATGCTTTCAATTTCTGTGCTCTCCATACTGGGAGCAGAGTGCCTGGCAACACTAAGAATGCTACCTCAGTAATGTGTCTTCCCAGTTAAACACTCATCTGTAATATTCTACAGTCAGAAAGTAAGCATGGCATTGAGGATCACACTGGTAGTTTCAGGCCTCTATCACAACTTCATTTAAAGAAGTATCTTAAGTGTCCCATAACTGCTTAGAAGTAACTACTAAAGTATCTTCTACATTCCCTTAGCTACCTAACATTTCTACATTTTATTTTTCTCTAGAGAAAATGTCTGGAAAGCAATCTATAAGGCAGGAATAACTTACTTTATTTCGATCTTGTACGACCAGCACTTTTCTGGTGCTATCATCAAATACAGCACCTTTTGTGGGGGGGAGATAATTGCAAAGTATTAATTTCACTCATCTTCAACTCCTTCCATAATTACCTGTGGTCATTAGAATCCCACACATATTTGAAGGCCTGGTCCAGAAATCTCAGCCAAGAAAACTGTAAAATACCTTTCCACTAAGGAGGGTATTGCTCAGTTGACCAGTTTTCTTTCCTTTTCTCTTCTCTTCTCTCCTCTTCCTTCCTTCTTTCTTTCCTTCCCTCCCACAGCAATTTGGCACTCCCAGGGTAGATACAACATATGTTAAAATCCTGTAAGAATCATGTGCATAAACCTTTTCTATAGATTGTCCATGCCTCACGACATAGATGAACACCTTTTTTATTTACATTTTCTTTGGTGTTCAAACAGTTGTGAGTGCTTGCTGCTGTCCACGTGGCTCTCTAAAGAGAAACTGTCTATTGAGAGCTTAGACCATTTTATTCCTTACAGATCTAGAAGCTAAGAAGTCCAAAATCAAAATGCTGACCCATGCAGTGTCTTTGAGGGGCTAGTTCTCATAGAGAGCACCCCCACAGGGGGAAGGATGGACCTCTTGGGCCTCTGCAAATAGGGACACTAATGCCTTGTTAAAGACCAAGTCTTTAATCCCCAAACTAATAGGGGATTAGTTTCTAACATGATACAAACATTCATACCTCAGTGCTCAAAACACTAAAAACATAACTGGACTTCTTGTTAAAATTCTTACTCCTTGAAGCACAGTGCAGACTTCTGCTTCCTGACAGAGACCCCAACTATCTCAATATCCATTAAGACCCATCTGAGGCCAGCAACATTTCCTTACTGTGTATGCATGTATTTTACAGCACACTCAGACATTTGGAAGGCTTTATTTTGCATGTGCTTAAAGTGCCAATCCAACTCCTTCAAATACTCATTCATCATACATACTGCTCAGCACACCGTTAACTTTGCTAGACTTTAGGACCCAAACCAAATTTTTCTTTAGTATCTAAAAAAAACCAAAAACCAAAAAAACTCCCCTTTTTATTTGTATGTATGCTTTGCCTGCATGTATGTCTGTACCATGAGCATGCAGCGCCTAAAGAGGCCAGAGCAGGCAGTGGATCCTCTGGGACTGCAGTTACAGATTGCTGTGAGCTACCATGTGCTTGTCAGGAATCAAACTCAGATCCTCTGGAGGAGCACCAAGTGCTTTTAACTGCTGAACTGCCAAGCTACCTCTCCAGCCTGTTTTTAGGTTTGTTTTTTGGGTTTTTAAGACAGGGTTTCTCTGTGTAGCCTTGCTTTCCTGGAACTCCCTCTGTAGACCAGGTTGGCCTCAAATGCACAGATACCCATGTGCCTGGGATTAAACGAGTGTACCACTACCACCCACCTAGCTTTTAGTATTTTTGTTTGGGCAATCCTGGGTCAAAAACATAAATAATATTTTAATGATTTGTACTAGATTCCTTGAAATGGGCTAACTTAAAACATCCATATGAGAAGATATTTTATATATTCATACCAATTCTTTCAATATTCATTGAGTCTTTTTATGTTACATATGGAAGTCCTTTATGTATTAACTGAGCTCCTTTTATGTATGAGGCATTTTACCAGATGCTGGGGATACAGTAGTAAACATAGCAAAACTTCCCATCTGAGATTCATATCCTGCTGTGTGTGTGTGGAGTGGAGACAAATTAAAGGTTAGTTACACAGAATGCCAGAAAGTAGTAAAAAAGAAATATAGAGACAATGAATGTGAAAGGAGCTTATTTGGAATTCAAGGGCTGGAGAGATGCTCACAGCTTAAGAACCTATACTGTCCTTGCAGAGGACCCAAGTTCAGTTCCCAGCACTCACTTCAGATGCCTTGCAACTACTTGTAACTCCAGCTCCCAGGATCTGAGGCCCTTCCCTGGTCTCCTTCCCTGGTCTCTATGGATACCTGCACACACATGGCAGACACACATACACACACATGCTCATAAACAAAATTTATTTTAAAATTTCAAACATTAGAGCCGGGTATTGGTGGCTCATGCCTTTAATCCCAGCACTTGGGAGGCAGAGGCAGGCAGATCTCTGGGAGTTTGAAGCCAGCCTGGTCTAGGACAGCGAGTTCCAGGACAACCTCCAAAGCAATACAGAGAAACCCTGTCTTGAAAAACAAAAATTCAAACGTTAAAAAGTACTGAAATGAAGCACTACACTTGGTACTCTGAAGCAGGAAAAGACACCTATAACTGTAACTCCAATAAAGGAGGTATAATAAGATGTAAGTCTAACTGGACTTTACAAGGGATTAGAATGCCAAGAAACCTATTTTTAGATTTGAAGGTTTAGTGATTACCTAGCATCTTTTTTCTTTAATGTGTTCACTAGCAGGATAAACTAAGTAAGAGTGAAAAGATATTAAGCATAATTGGAGCGACCCCTGCTGGTCACAGCAGAAAGCTAAAGCAACACAAAACTGGGAGGGAACTTAAACAGAAGTTCCTTTGCAGCACATTAGGCACTGAGTGGTTCCTGTGCAGTAGCCCATGTGTCTGTCATATAGTCATGTGAGTGTTATAAGGGGGGACTGAGTTCACACAGCCATCATTGAGAGAGCTGGACTTAATAGCCAGGGTTCAGTCCAAGTGGGCACTTAAGGACAGCACTGCCCCATCAAGACACAGCAACTGTTCCATACTTAAAGATGTCATCATCCATACATCTACAAGTGAGTGTATATATATATATATATATATATATATATATATATATATAATCTTTGGGTTGTGTGGAGTGCTATAAAGAAAAACAGATCTGTATAAAGAATCATAGACTGGTCAAAAAGGCATGAAGGCAGTCCTTATCTTGATAGGAAGTTTGGGAGCTTCCTATCCAGTAAAGTCAGTAAAATGTTTCCCATGCAAGCATGTGGAACTGAGTTTAGATCCTTGGCTTCCACATAAAAAGCCAGACACAGTACATCTGTAGACCAGTGCAAGGAGGTGAAGAAGCCCATTGGCTTGCTACCTCACCAGCCTAGCCAAATCAGTCACTCGAAAGTTATAAAACACTAGGAAGATGGCACTTGTGGATGCCATACACAGTTGTGCTCTGGCTTACATATGCACCCCCCATACCCACACCCACACCCACGCACATGCACTCGGGCCATAGCCTTGCATAAGTCCTGATTGAAGCATCAGCCTATCATCAAATGACTGGGTAGAATCCTCTGAGGTGGAGCCCACTGAACACTTCTGAATGTCTACTTGTTGCAGGAGAAGAAGGCTAATGATAGAGCATAGTACTGGACATTCCCATTAGCTCATCTGTAACACTTTAGATATACAGAGCAGCCTAAAACCTCATATAAACTATATGAAACCCCCAAATTACTGAGGTAATAATTAGCCTGCATTGTTCTTTCACTTAAGGATTCCTTTCTATTTTAAGTGTGTGCTGTGTGTTTTCTGGAAACCTAAGAACTTCCTTAACCCTGGCTCTCAAAAGATGGCCCTGAGGGCAGCAGCAACAACAGCTGGCACAGAGAAAAGAGCAGGAATCAGAACTTGGGGATGGAAGTAGCTGCTCGTTTTGGCAAGCTCTCTAGGAGATTCCAATGCCCAGAGCAACGAGAATTTCCCGTTTTTGAAGGGTAGTGATATATTACTTATGACTTATTAAAGTTAGCCTGAGGATTCAGAAAAGCAAAGTCAGCCTCAAGCTATAGCTATCAGGCGGTGGTGATTCATACCTATAATCCCAGCAGCCAGAAACTAGGAGGTGGTAGTACACACCTTTAATCCCAACATTAGGAAAGTATATAAGACAGAAGCAGGATCTCAGAGAGGAATTTGTTCTCCAGCCATGCAGAGGATAGGAAGACATTGAAGCCTTAGGATTCTCCAGCCACACTGAGGAGAGGCAGTAGACTGAGGTTTGGTGAAGCCAGGATCGCCTTTCAGTCTGAGGTACAGTAAGAGCTAGTAGCCAGCTGCTTTGCTTTTCTAATCTTCAGCTTGAAGCTTAAACCCCAATATCTGTCTCTGGGTCTTTTATTTATCATGCAACACTGAAGCTAACTGGGGAGATCAAGGCTCTACACTCGTTATACTCTTCTATCTTAAACCACTACCATTTGGCACAATAACCATTTAAAGTCTTAGGAAGTAATAGTCAAATGATTAAATGATTAGTTTGCCTCATTTCAAGTTCAACCTAAAAGTTTTACAGTACAACTTTACACATTTAGTGCATATTTAGACTAGTATATGTGAAACAACCATGAACTTTGCCAGAATCAAAATGGGGTTCCTTGTGTGGGTCCCAACAAAAGGAAGTAAAGCTGGAAGATTATGAAGACAAATCCTTAATATGAATGCTTGATAATAATTACTACAAAGGACTCCTGAAACCACAGCTGGCCGAAGCCAGGACAAAGAGTACTCCATGAGGACAGGCTCAACCTTTGACTAATGCCACTATTGCCCTTAATGTCTGTCTCCAAGGATTACTCTTTTCAGAACCTATTCTAATATTCTGTTTTATCTTTTTAAATTTCTTATCTCTTGAATATATTTCAAGTTTACTATGACATATGTGTGCTGATTATAATACTCTTGAATCACCAAAACAACAACAACAAACTCTTACTTTCTGGAGATTCATTGTTAATTTTGGGTGACATGTGCTTTACTCCCTTATCCCAATTCAGTGCCACCACTGAGAGGTGGAGTTCAATCATCTGTGTGGAGCATGTTAAGTGTGACCTTTGGGAAGCCCACTTCTCCACTTGTTCTCTGTGCCACCCTGTGATCCACGGAACAGACAGCCTTTGTTTTTTACAGTTTGTGCAACTGTAGCACAGTGCTCACTGAACCAGCACCTATGGACAGACTAGTGGCTCAGCTGCAAGAAGATATGGTAAACGTGTGAAAAGGTACTTCTGGTGGGCATGGGTCTGAAACTGACCTGCAACCCCTACTTGGTGTGTAGCATATCCTGGAAGTCTGCTAGGTCCTTCTCCCAGCCACAGAGTCAGCGTCGAGGAATGGGATTCTGCATGGTGGAAACAAAAGCCCAGGGAAGCAGCAGGGGCGATGAAGTGGCTTTGCAGGATGGGGATGTGCAGCCATGCAGCTACCCTTCCTTCAGATCGCCACCGTTGTATGGCAGCTAGAATACAGAGGGAGGAAGATAACAATCTGTAAACTTTTCTGTGAGATGAGCAGTCTATGCCTCTCTGCATTACTAGAGCCCAGTTAGGTAATTTCTCCGCCCATCACAGTGCTGGTTGTTTGTAACCATCCCTCCTATTCACAGGTCCAGCACATTGTGGAGTGGACAGAGGAACTGATTAAAAACAATCACAGGTTTAGTGTTTTCCTCTTTGCAGTGCTGAGGATCACAGCTTGGGTCCTGTATATGCTTTAGGGTGCTCTACCACTGACCACATCCCCAGCCCATTCTGTTTCTTTTAATGCCTTAGTTTTAACATTCATAATGATGATGAAAGTTTTTTTTAACTCTTCCAGTGAGAGTTCTGATGTTATTTTTGGTTTACAAACAGAAAGGTGATTAAAAAAAAGAAGTTAAAAAAAAGTCAATTCTCTATTACTAGCATGAAGAAACTTTTAGAATTTTAGAATCTTGTGATTTTGTCATTAACATGTCTACATCTTATATTATGCCTTTACTAATACATTGCATTTTAAACAGTCTATCATTATAATTCCTTCAATGAAAGTGTATTTCTCAATAGCAGCAGCATCCTTCATATTTCCTACATGCTACCCAGCCAGTTTTTACTCTAGACATTTATATTACTTAAAAGTTTATTATAAACATCACTCTGAATATGAAGATAGGTTTTCTATCTTAGAAATCTTTACATCTTCTGAATTTTCTATGGGATTAAACCAGGGGGAAAGGTGCTCACTTATTTGAGCCTTAGATATTTCAGATACTTAACATTATTCAAGTGTTCACACTGTGAGAGACAGGTAAGCATTAACTTGCAGGTGGGTGAGAAATTCCACATCCCAGCTGAGACTTCAGCAAAGCCTCTCAGTCACTGATCACTCCCCCAACCTTTATCCCACCCTCTCTATCTTGGTGCCCAAGTATGCCATCATCCATTTCCTCGTCACCTGCCTTTCTCTTCTCTTACTTAGCCTTGCTTACGTAAGCTTCCCCCTGCTAAGGACCACGGGCTCCCCATCTTTGGAGGTCAATTTGCCTACCACAGTGACAAGTTGTTGGTCCTTAATAGACATTGATTTGATCCAGCATGCACTGTGGCTATAGGAGCAGATTCTTCCTACCTCACTTTCTCTAACTGAATCCTTCCTAGTTGAGGTATAATGACATAAAGCAGGATGCACAAGGTCACAAGTGTGCACTTGAAGACTTCTGACCTATGCAGATACCCACAACCAACACCTCCACTCAGACTCCAGAACATCTAAATTATGCAGGTCCTCTGTGCTCCTTCCCTGGCAGTCCTTTCAATCAAATGAGAAGGCTGCTTTCTAAAACACGGGATTTGATCTCCCCTTTAAACTCTCTCTACCTTGGACCATTCATGTTACCACGGTGCCAACGAAAGCATGAGGCTGCCCAGTTCTGACCTCACTTGATTATTAACCTCTCTTCTCCAGTTGCTACTGCAAACCATCTCAACACTGAATTCAGTGCCCATACTAGCTTCATCCAGAGACCCGCTGATGTTCATTCCATAATAATGGAATTATCTTAGACCCGATTCTATTAGGAATTTCTTCCTTCCCCTTTTCCCCTCTAAGAAATGTGGTCCCTCCCCACATCTTGTACCTGGTCCTGGAAGACCAGCTCCTGTACTACCTCATCAACAAGGCTCTTTAACCACTGCACAGGTGCTACTAGTACATGAACTTAACATGTGCACAGACAGCACATGACTCACTGGAATGTGTCACACATCACCTAACCTGCTAGTAAAATGTCACGATTTTGCAGTCCTCTCACTAGAAGCAGGGCTATTTCACTTCCATTGTAAATCGTATGTGATGCCAGGCATGGCAATTATTGCTATAATTGGAGTGCTCTGGAGGCAGAGGTACGAGGGTCATGAGTGTGTAGCCAGCTTGAGCTATCTATAACATTTATCTGCCTCAAAGGCCCTCTGCCAAGAAATAGTCTATGTAGGGCTAGGTGCACTATAATCCTAATATCCGAGTTGTCAGTAACAAACAACAGTGAAGGACTAGTGACCTTCATGGGCAAACATGCTTTAACAGCCATTACTAACACATTACAATGTTTAATCTGGAAGAGACAGACATCCTATCAGGCTTTCTTCTCAGATTAGTTGTTCTTTACAGGCAATGCCAATTAATTTTGTTTGATCCCATCACACCAGAATTAGAAGTGGCTCGTAGAACAGTGTGAACAAAGTACAGACCCAGAGCCAGGGGAGGGTACTGCTGCCTCTGTGCCTTGGCGCCATCAATAACTGGATGAGCATGTATGTACTTTTCAGGTTATGAAGACAAAATAAATTCATATTTCTTAAAATGATCATTACAGTGAAATGTTTAATTAAGGATACGCAAAAAGCTGTAAGGGACTTCATTCAGGGTGGTTTTGATGATAATTATCCAGTAACTAGGGCTAGCATTATTCACCTAAGAAGTCTTTTCAGTGGTCATTTGGTTACTGCCTGGCCAAGCACGTGGCACAGTCTGGGACTTGAACCCTGGACACGTTTCTAAATCCACCACTTTCTGGAGTAGTGCTTAGATTAGCACTGGTCACTGGTATGACAAACACCTGTGCCCTCCACATGTGTACACATATCAGTGGGTGGATAGATTCTCCTACTGGTGACATTGCTGGGGTCTGGACAGGGCTTCTCAGCACTTATAAGCAGGAGAGATGATGTGAAGTAGACTGGTTTGAAGATGAAGATTAACAGCATTAGAGGCCCTAACTTGCCGTGTTGCTCACAGGGTAAAGATCGTTTGTAGTTTCCTGGTTATGTGAAAAGAACTTTCCATAGCTGAATTTCCACGCTATGTCTTCAGTTTGAGAAACAGACTGCTCCAATAAACCAGACACTTATCCTAAAGTCAGGGGTCCTTCACTCAAGCTTCCTTTTAGATAACTGGACTCAGCGTTCAAAGCTAGTGATGTGTTCCTATTGAAAATGCAAAGCTCTGTGGGTAGAAACAAGCACTGGTTCTTGACCTGCCAGCTCCTATCTGTCCCGATCAGGAGACAGTTTTGCCTCGCAAGGATTGTGGCAGACTCTAAGTGCCAACAAAACTAAGGCTGCAAGGTTATCAGCGTTTATTAAGAGTTAAACCGTGCTAGGAGCTGCGAACCCTCAGCAATACCAAGGGCGAGTATCCAGGTTTAGACCCGGACACCGCTGAGGGAACTTCCAGGTCACAGCTATTAAACCGCTCGCTGGGTGTCCTTTCAGCTTTCACCTCAGAGCCCGCACGCTCCGCCCTGGTTTCCGGGGCCCCAGCCCAGCTCTTGCCCTGCAAGAGCCTCCGGAAGGCGGCAGCGTCCAACCCGTGCAGCGCGCGGTGCCGAGCCAGATGCACCGAGACGCCCCCAAATCTGTCCAGCTCGCCTTGCAGCTCGCCCGCCTCTCGCGGGCTGCCCGAGGCTGTGCGTGCCTCTGTCCGGAACCCGGCTCCGCCTGCACGTAGCAGCGCCGCCTGCAAGCCAACCGGTCTCCACAGCCACCTCATTGCTGCACCTAGCTTTTCCGTCGCTCCTAACATTCCCGTTCTCCGCCCCCTCCCCTCCCCACCCCTCCTTTCGCCCCGCCCCGCCCCATCTCGCGCCGCGTCCACGTCTCCTGGCTCCGCCCTGTCTCGCCCTCTGCGGAAGCCCCGCCCCTTCTCGTGCCGCCTCCTTGCAGTCGTCCCGCACAGAGCCTCGCCTCTCCTTCCGGCGATCGCCCCGCCCCGCCTCGCCGCAAACAATCTCGTGCAGTCTTCCGGCGCTCGCTCCGCCCCTCTTCGCCGTGAGGAGGGCTGACCGTAAACTCTCGAAAAGTGTCACCTCCGGCTAAAGTTGATCTGGGCTTTCCCATTTGGCCAGAGAGCTCAGTGGAGTTGACCGCGGAGTGTCTTCAGTGGCCTCAGACATG